GAGAATTAAAGGAAATTACTCCAATCTTCACATCTAACTTCCGCCTAAGATTTTTCTATCCTCAAGGACAATTTCCTCTTAATTTGACACTTACTAGGCTGTAGTCAATGTACTATTTGATTCTATGCCACCTTGGTTTAAAATAAAAATGAAGTTTAAACATTAATATAAGCTATACTTAATAACACAAAATAATTAAGCAAAATCGATTAGCAAAATAAGCTCACTTTAATGAAGGAGTTCACACAAGTCGTAAATTATTCACTCAGACACTACAAGGGCCATGCCAAACCCTTGTCTCTCAATACTTTTTCATTCATACCCTGACTGTATGGCCAATTTTAGCGCAACGCTGCGAAACGCTCAAACTTTCACTCACAATGCTCATCCACCTATTTCTTCTTCTTTCATCAACAACTAATATCCCATTTGAATTAAAGTTAAACATTCATTCAAGGGGATGACTCACCAGATCGATCAAGTACAAAAATTATTTCACACTTGTCTCCATCACTTGCTCGAGATTGCGCAATGTTAGGCAAAAAGGAGGCAGCAATGCAGTGCATTCCTAAGAAACCACCTTTCTCGACACTTCCTATTTCACATGGTGATGCAAGAATGTGAGGCTTGTCCATTGCGATTTCCATCTCGAAATCATTCTCAACAACCACACCATCTGACAGAGACACTTTAGCTCGACTCTTCTCTTCGTTCAGGTAGTTCACCTGAAATGTGTGATGAGGAGAAGTCACTGAAAGTATTCCGCCAGCACCATATATCTCAGCCACGAAATTCATTTTTGCGGCTAACTTCGAGGCTGGCACATTTGCTCCTAAAGCAAAAATCACTCCAAAAACATCATTTCCACCTTACCATATCTTGCACCAATCTTTCCCGGCATCGAGAACACACAAACCACTGGTTCCTTTAGAGATTTGAAGCGTTCTAACGACGTGTCCACCTCACGAAGATACAATGGCACGACGTACTTGAACGTAATTTCGATTTTATCTCCAGCTGGTATATTTCCCAATTTCATTTTGAAGGTGTCACCCATGTGAAAATCCTCCTGCATCATAAATGCCGTATGACCTTTTTCCACAGCTTCGTTGTATGTTGCTTCCGCCTAAAACATCATCTTACAATACAATAAGGCATTACCTCAACACGCTCTCTGCACCTTGCCACTAAGCGTTTTTTCCCAATAACAGCTTCAAGATGATAAACAGCAGCAGTTGACTCAAGAGGGAAGATAAATTCCGCTTCGATTAATTCTGAGGTTGTGTTTTCGTAGAGAAACTTGCAGGATACATCAGCATTATTATTGATAATTAATGCACTGACATCATATTTATCTAGTGCAACAGACTCTGGAGGCCATTTATTGCAGATAACGAGACCATATATTTCTCCATCTTCTACCCCTGACATCTTGGCAGAGACTACTACAAGGTCAACGTTCAAAATCGCAAATATTACTTAGATAATTAAAACACATTACCATATATTAAAATATATGGAAGAATTTCTGATCCCCATCAGTAATCGATTCGCTTCTAAAGTTAAAGTCTTGTTTATCTTTATTGTTTTATTAACGTACAACGCTTATGATAAAATTAACTTTTTAATTGCACTCATATATGTTGAATAAACTTTCAACTATTAAGGTTTTTATAATAATATGTCCTTTACTTCTGAATTAAAATGGAAGTTAATGCAATTTGACCAATGAACTTTAATCAATATTAGAAGGTCTTCTGGTTTCATTTTCCTTCATCAGTAAATTCCTATTTTAATGCGAGCAATTACTCAACAACTTAAAAATTTATAGTTGCATTAATGAGACCTGTGTATACTGACTGTATTTTAATCCTCAATGGCATTTGCAGTCTTATAAGAAATGATAGTGACTGAAGTTAAGTTAAGCTTTGATGACATTAAAATTAATAGAGTACTTTCCCGAATATGTGACATTGCAAAGAGGGGTGCTTTAATGCCTTTGCAGACAATGAAATATTGGTCTAATTTTACAGTGGTCAGTAACGTACAGCTTCTTGCGTCGAGGTGAATAAACTTAAAATCTGCTAAAGTGCGTTACTCATGACTTGAATAACCCTGATTGACAAAATCATTTCCTTCATCACATTTCAATCAATAACTTTTTCAAAATTAGCCCAATAGATGGAGAAATATTTTCATCACTTGAATGCCATGTAAGCGTTGTGACGGATTTTTGATTGGATCTCGACACATATTTTTAATGCCTCAAACTTAAGCGATAGTTAATTACCTTTAATTACGCTCTATACTTTTATGAATATGCCATTTATTATTTAACTGAAATTCATAAATCCAACTAACTTTCTTTGGCACACCCAGGCGTATAAGATGAAAAGAAACAAGACTTGGTCAACAGTCTAAATCTTGGTCAAATTCTCTTTCGATCGACTTTATTAACTCCATCACCCACCCTACATACGCCCATTACAACTTGCATAGTAGGTTTAGATTCAATTGACTAATTGCAAATGCACCCTCCCTCATTTAAATTCATTCCAATTCTGCACCACTGCCCTTTCAAACTGTCGATTCACCATGGCTGAAATAACCTCATCGCATTCGACACGTCAAATTTGTTTTAAACTTTAAATGCTTTGTACTACTAACGCAGGCAACTACTATCTAAGTCAATTCATTCCTGATCGCCTTTTAGAATGCTCAGAGGGTGTGTCTGATCACTCTACTTATTTACTCTCTCACAACTCAAGACTCGCTTACTGTGTTTAAGTCCATGATTATTTGACATTGGCATACACAAATTTGGCAGAGGAACAATGAGAGGGAAGTATTGAATAAGAGCACATGAAGCGATTTTAAGTTGCTTAAATAATTGTCAATGAATTCGATAATAACGCTTTCTTAGATTATAGTAGGAACGAAGTTTTTTGTATTTTTGTCGAGATACGTGTCCAATCGGTCTATAAAAAATATATTTTATTTATTATTGTTTCGGAAATAAATGTAAACTTTCATGCACAGGTATTTGTGAGTATCTAGTAGAGATAAAATAGTTTCATTCGATATTGCAAGAGGGTGACGAGAAGGAAATATGAGGTATTTCCATCACCAAATATATGTAATCTTGTAATTTCATGCATTTCCATTAAGAAATTTGATAATGAACGATTTGATCAACAAAGAAAGGGTTAGTGCTCACCCAATGCAAACTGCTTTGCTTTTCTTACCCATCGAGCAAGCGAATGACAAAGGTGTGTAATGTGCACGTGTGGGGAGTCGGCTTAAGAACTCTGCGTAGATATGAGATTTTAATGGCAGGTACCCGCATTAATAGTCTCCAAATCCTCCAATAAAAATAAAGACATGAAACAGGTGCATAGGGGTATACTTACTCGAGAAGGGCCATGCAGCATTAGCGTGTATTTTGTGAGTACATGGCTTGTGAAACTCCCTCCACGACCAAACTAATACTAGGTCTAGTCTTACTAATCTCTTTCCTCTACCTTATAATCAACTACTACTCTGCAATTAAGACTTCACACTTACTCGCCATTTTTAATTTGAGTGCAACCAATTCCCTCTTGCCATGCAAGGATCCCGATGCAAGGGAAAATTTCAAAAGGGCCAAAACGCTGTTGCAAGGTAAGCACAACACCTCCCTCTCAGAAATCGATCAAATCGCCACAATGGAAATCGCGCGTTATGATTGCTCCTACCAGGACCCTGTCGAACCGAAAATCATCTTTATTATTATTATTTCATATGGTAGGCTTTATGGTATTTATCATAAGCCCTTAAACTTTGACTTCCATTCCAACCCCCAACTTTGGGGTGGGGGTACATTTATAGCAGTAACTTAATAGC